AGTCATTAGTTCACTGCAGAAGTCATTACATGCAAAATGGCTGAACCAGTTGTCATAACGTGCCAAGTATACTTCTATACATTTCTCTTTGTTGAATTTTTTTATTTTTTTTGTAAATGTGTCTGAATTGATTAGCTGCTTTCAGGTGAATCTTGATTGTGAAACATTAGATCAACCAATGATCAACCAGTTCTCCAAAATAGCTCAGAGGTACATCTGATACATGCACACATATACAATATATGCATACATGGTGCATATATAAACCAAGTGCTACAACTTCTGACAATGGAAGAACAAGGAAATGAACAGCATCCGCTTCCAGGAAGATGAAGAAGAGGAGGAGAAGGGCTGTGTGGTGGAGGGGTAGGGAGACAAACCACAGGCCAAGGACAGACAGATTGCACTGTAATTCCCTATAGCTCTGCCTAGGGGATGTTTCCTATGTTTACATTTCTAATGTTGTCTTTACTCCTTACATGCTTTACAGAACAAGTGCAGCCATTGTCATCAAAACCTGAGCCATAGTTTACATCAGAAAATACTTACACAGTACACTGTTGTACTGACAACATGACTAAGCAGTTTGTTCCTAAACAATGACTTGTCATTCTGATGACACTGACGTGCTCATTGACATTTTCAGAAATGCTTTTAGTGTCTAGCAAATGTTAAGGACGGTTTCAGAAAATTTACCAAAGCAACTGAGAATAGCTGTAATTCTAAAGCTTAATTCTGGTCCATAGCAGATGCTGAGAGGATGTTTTCCCACTCTATGATTTGTTCTGCAAGCACCAAGGATGACAAGAGAGTCATTGCTGCATGATGTTTCACTGATTCAGTTCTCAGAGGTGACAGGGAGCAGGAAGGCACTCGTTTATGAGATTGATAGACAGATAGATAGATAGATAAGTGAAATGGAGAAACACTGATGTAATCTTACAGATGCAGAAAGACAGTCATGAATGGAGAAACACTGATGTGATCTTACAGATGCAGAAAGACAGTCATGAGAGGGATGTAGCTGTTAGAGCATGTATGGTTTTGCTCCCTGCTGACAGGGTGGCTCCCTCTTTATCTCTGGACATTTGCAGGTGCTCTGTCAGAGGAAGACCTCACTATCTGCTAATCTAACACAGTGGAGACCCGAGAGCCAGAGCTGCAGAGTCGAGGGAACAGAAGAAAATGGTTCCTCTCTCACAAACAGTTGATACAAGATGATAACAGATCCGGATAATTGAAGATAAGATAAGATAAACCTTTATTAGTCCCACCACAGGGAAATTACAGCAGCAAGGGATAGAAACAGGCACTCAGTGTTGAGAATCAAAAAGTAAGTAGCAGACAAGGTATTATCTATATAAATATAAAGAATTGTAGCTATAAATAATAAAAAGTAAGACATACTGCTCTCGCTGCATACAGTATACTAGAGGTGTTATGCTGTAGTTTACTGTATAGATTTTTTTTACAATGTCATAAGATCCCAAAACATATTGATGTAGCTCAAAATGTTTACAGTGGTGACTGTGTCTTGAGGAATTGTTATTGGAGGATGGGAAACGAGTTAAAAAAGCAGAAAAAACAGAGGAATGAATCTCTGCAGTGTGAAGAAATTGACATTTGTCCATTAGAGGAAAATGTGTTATGGTAGCACGTCATATTCACATCAGATGTACAGTATTTCCCAGGTAGCTGAGGTATAATAGTGATCATAGATACAAAACACGCTGGAGAGATTATGTATCTCATTTGGCCTGGGAACACCATGGAAATCCCATCAGAGGAGCTAGAACATGCTGCTGGGGAGGGAGACATCTGGTCTACCTTGTTGAACCTGCTGCCATCGTGACCCGGCCCCAGATAAGCAGATGATAATGGATGGATGAATGGATAGATACAAAATATCACAGAGAATCATAAAGTGTGATATTCAGGCTAAGCATGTGAGGTAATTAAAGAACTTCCAGCTGACATTACATTAGACTCTGTACAAGTCTGTTTGTGAGTGATGGAAACAACATGTCCCTTTATGAACCACGGTGAATGTGAACATTTTATGAAAGCTTCTCTTTACCCAGCTATAAAACCACAACCTTCGGTGGATTTTAAAACAGCAAATTGCACAGGAAGGCACCTGGGCAGAGGAGCATACAGCTTTTATTAATCTTTCTTTTGCGCAGTTCTTTCACTCAGGCAGTTTTAAACTGAATTGTCTGCTTGGGCCTGTGCAGCCCCGTGGAGTCCAGACACAGACCAGTGAATACTGTGACATCTCCACTCCCCTCGGCCCTAGTGCTGCTGCCTTCATCCAATTTACCATGAAAGGAATCCAGACAGTCCCATAATATGACCCACGGCTGCTACGATTGAACATGGTCGACAACTCAGGGCCTGGGCTTTACACACATAACCAGGCAGCTATCTACAGAGGACCACAGGCTGCCTGTTACCCCTTGATAAGGCCC